TAACATTAAAAAAAAAACCATGCCACATAAAGCTCACCAAAAGTAGCTAGACCTTTTCATGGTAAATCAGTGGTTTTCTGAAATTAAATATGCTTTGGTAGTATTTTGGTATTTCTATAACATTCTTTCTTCAATGTTTTACTGTACCTTATAAATCTTGTCTAAATTAAAAACTTGTACTAACATATCAGTAAAGGGATGTCTGCACATCCAAACCATATTTACTTCTGGTACTTCAGGGCCTAATTCTTTGCTAACCCTTTGATATAAGGAATGACCAGGGCATGAAAGGGACCATCACAACCAGGCAATGGGAGGGCTATCACTAATCCCACTGTGGCACCTAAGTTACTTATTTATACAATATGATTGAGGGCAGTGAATTCAAACCAAGGACGCAACAGGCTCACTGCTTCTTAGGCAAGAAAGAAAAGAATATTAACATCCATATGATGCTGGTCCATGAAGCCTTTCAATGATTCCATGAAAACGCTTGTGTTTGCACTCATCTGTATTACCTGCAGCAATGAAGGATGCACAGAACTGAGCAAGTAATAATTGCAAGAAAGCTAGGTCATTATACCGCATAAAAAATGAAGTTATCGAGGGCCAGCCAAACAGCTCAGCAGATTACAGCACCTGCAAGTGATGCATTCTCAGGACCCCTTCAGACCCAGCCTAAGCCCAGGCCTAGTGAGTGTGTGAGAGAGCTTCCACACTCCCCTACACCCACTGGACCTCTCTGGACCAAGCCCAGGCCTGCTGCATGAGTGAGACCTTCCGCCGCACTCTCAGGACCCCTCCACCCCTCCAGACCCAGCCTAAGCCTGCCACATGAGTAAGAACTTCCACCGTGCGCTCTCGGGACCCCTCCAGACTCCGCCAAGCCCAGGCCCAGTGAGTGTGTGGGAGAGCTTCCATGCTCCCCTGTGCCTGCTGGATGCCTCCAGACCCACCCCAGGCCTGACATACAGGCCTGTGGTGAAACTATGCAGCTGAAGTCCCTGCAGAGAAACTAGAGGCCAGAACCACCCAACTAATCCAGAAGCAGAACATCTTGCCAGAGGGACAGAACAGGTTTACCTACAAGAGCTGAAGCAGAAAGGAGCTAAAGCACCTATAAGCAGGCACAAGGGCCAGGGATTCGATTCCTGGGCCTGCCGTGCCAGCCCTGCCCCTGGGGCACGCTAAGATGGCAATTGAGAGTGGGCACGGTGGCGCGTACCTGTAATCCCAGCTCTCAGGAGGCTGTAAACAGGCAGATCACTATGAGTCTGATGTAGTAGTGAGACCCTGACCACCCTGTAGACCCTTCCCTAAAAATACAAAAAAACTTAAAATAAAAATAAAGTTATTTAGACAAATGCTTTTGATTTACTTTTTATTTTTATTTTTGGTTTCTTCTGAGATGGAGTCTCACTGTACAGTCCAGGCTGGCCTTGAACTCACTACGAAGCCCTGGCTAGCTTTGAACTTGTGGCAATTCTTCTGCCTTAGCCTCCAAAGTGCCCAGATTACAGCTTCTGAAATTTATATTCATATGAAATAACAGAGAACTTCACTAAAATGAAGTCTTTGTATAGTAGGTCTAGACAGGCTTTCACCAGAAGTTCATGCTGCTGACCTTCAGACCATACTTTTAAAGTAGCAGGACGGCTACATGCCTAGCACTCAGCAATAATTAACATAGTATTACCTGTAACAATTTCTCATTTGTGTTTTTCATCTCTATATACTTGACTTGTTTCTCAGAAGACATATTTCTGATAATGCCATCTGCTGCTTGTTTTTCTTGTTCAATTTCTTCTTCTACACTTACGATTTGTTTTTCTTTCCTGAAATCAAAATCATGCAATATTCTTGTTACCACAGTAACAGTAAAAGAAAAGACATCAAGGTCTTTCCACACTCAGATCACAGTCTTAATATAATGGGGTGCTTAAAGATATTGAACCATATTATGTGACAATAAAGTCCTTATATTTGTATAAAACAAAACACTTTAAACTATATGAAATTTGGTCCCACAACACAGACTTATTTTATCTTTCTCTTCTCCACTGCAAATTCCATTTCTTTACTTTCTATTTTCCAAAAAAACCCACAAAGATTATCACAGAAAATCTGTAAGATCTCATACAAATGAACAGTGGGTTTTGAACAACCTTCAGCAACAGAATTATTTGGCCAACTGAGATTTTGTATAAAAATTTGCCATACAAATCATAGAAAGCAAGGCAGTTTTCATTGAGCTGGCAAGCAGGGAGACCTACCAGGCAATTTGACTTAGGAAAAAAAAAGAAATCCTAGCTTTGGATAGTAACATGTTTTGCTTAAATTTCCTTTTACTTATTGCCTTGATCTGACATATATAGCACTGTAAAATAATATAATAACTATTAATAAGAATAAAGTAAGTATAACTATCATATCACAAGAAATGTCAGTGAGGTTTTTTATGTAGTCAATTATTAGTAAGGTAGACAGAACTTCTGAAAAACAGATGATTTATCATTTATTGTACAAAAACAAGATTCACATATAAAAAGCTGGACTTCATTTTGGGCTGGGGAGATAGCTCAGTAGAATAAGTGCTTTTGCCGGGCAAGCACAGGGTTGAGTTCAATACCCAGTACCACAAAAAAAAAAAAAAGCTGGACTTCACATAAATTTCCAGTCTCAAGATAATAAATTTCTGACTGGGTTTCAAAATTTGATTATTCTTTCACTACTTATTCTTTCATTCACAGATCAGACTTCTCCAGTTTTCACATCTTATACTAATCAAATACAAGAGGAACACAATGCAATCAGACATTTCAGTTCATTTTTGTCTCACTGTTGGACAGACTGCTCTTTCAACTGCAGCTACTATAGTAAAACAAAAGTGTTTGCTGCTGCTACAATTTCTACGGGTCTACAAGCTCACAAAACTTTTAAGCAGAAAAGATCACCTATTTCAATCTCTTATTTTACAGATTAAGGAGACTAAAGCCTACAGGAGTTCATCTTTCAGAACTCATTCATCCTCAAGTTTATGATTGCTCACCATCATCAGTGTTCCTTCCTACCATGTCTCCTGTAGTTACATGGGAACTAATGCACAGAATTCCATTCTAGAGAAGAGAAATTACAGTACGAGGAAGGGAGCTGATTTTCTGACTGCTACATAATGACGGACTGCTGTATCGCCTGAGCTTTAAGTACTTTGTTCCTGTTACAGCATAGCAATGAAACAACTAAGGAAGGTGTCATAAAATGAGTAAGCAGCAAAGTTAAGTAAGTCAATGGAATATAGACTTAGTGGTAGCTTTTCAACTTGAATAGTCCTCAATACAAAATATTTTAGAACACAAATTAGAAACTATCTTTTAAAAGTATGCATTCTCAATACTATGTACTTTAAGTCACAAAATAAAGTTACTGTTTTGATAACTTGTTGAAAAATAATTTAAAAACAGAGACTATGCAAAATACCCTACTAGTCACTCTAAAAAAGTCAGAGATGACTTTAAGAAATTATTCCTCTAGTCAATCTTTTGCTAAGGAAGTTCAGCTTTTTTTTTAATCACTTGCTCATTGGGTACAAAGGTTAAAACAAAGTGAAATATCATCATATGACATACTTTTTTTTCTTAAGGTGTTGAAGAAACAGAATAAATTTCTTTAGTACACCAATCTCACAGATAAAAGGAAAAAGTTAAGGTAAGTTCTTATATATTGATAGATTTGGTGATTGCTGCTGAATTTTTTAAAAATAAGTTTGTCATGACTATACAACAATATTTTCCTAAATGAAAGTATAGAAAATATATTTTCACATGGTCTGTGTCAGAAATAACATCAATCTGGGATATGATCAAAGAATCTTTTACAAAATTATAATGTAATTTATAAAAACCAAAGAAATTGTTTTTTTCTGGTGGGCAAAAAAGATTTCATCTAGCAAATCAAATTTATGAAATATTTTTATTTTGAAATATGTCACTGAGAGACTTTCAAGTGACTTTTAAACCTAAAAACAAATCAACAAAGATTAAAAAGAATCACTACAATGATTGCAAGACTTAAAGCTGGTGATAATGATTACTCTAACTTGGCTGCTTTTTCCCATTAAACATTTCACTGTAGTAAGTTTTGAAATTAAAAACAAAAAACAAACCCTATGAAAGGCTATGGGGATCTGTCAATCACTCAAATATTAATTCAAATACACTAAATCCTGGTATAAATATCTAAAAATACTTAATGACAAAACTACATATTGAGTTTTATTTATATATAAGCAAAATAATTGTACATTTTTCATTTCATTCCATATAATAATCTTATAAAGTAAATAACCTAAAATTCATTAAGAACATGATTTTTTTCAAATGTCTGTCATTTTCTTTGTGTAGATTTTTTAAATCTCTAATTATACAGTAGGTTATGTAAAAGGTCTTGATTTAATAACTAAAAGAAATAGATATTGTACATGTTCTCTATTTTTATTAGTTCGTAAGTAATCCTTAAAACTCAAATATCATTTCAAAATAAATGTTAAGTTAAAAAGAGAAAAAGACAAAATAATCATTTTCTTTATAAATCAAATTTCTGAAAGGGTGGACAACTCCTGGGCACATTCCACATGACACACTGACTCGCTACTCTGCCAGTATGATTTCTTTAAGATAACCAGTAATGCCGACAAGTGTCACTGTCTAGGGATTCATTCAGTATCAACAATGGTCAGTATTTACTTGCTCTCTCAATCTGTCCTATCAAAAGATATAAAAACATGTTAAGAAAAAAAAAAAAAAAGACCATGGGCCATAGGAATCACACTTTGTCATGCTTTAGACTTGTACAGAATTTTGAGCATATAACTCTAAAATTCACCAAAAGGAAAGAAAAAAAACATTCATTTTCTAATCTTTATAATTTTTTTTCTTTTAATATCCTGGAGAAAAGAACTATTCTTAGGTAAAGGTAATAAAGACAAGACTTTCTTCATTTCTAAGTAGCTCACAGCCTCGCCTCATCTCCATTTTCCTTCTTGCCAGGTTCTATTATACATAAATTCTTTACTTGAATCCAGTTAATTTTCACTATATCTTATTTGCTTTCTTAAACCATTTGTCTCTTTCCTTCCCTCCCTCTCTTCTCTCTCTAAAATAACACTTCTTGGGGCCAGGGAAATGGCTCATTGGATTAAGTGCTTCCCTGGCAAGCGTAAGGGCCTGAGTTCAATCCCTGGTTCTGCCAAAAATAAAATAAAATAAAATAAAATAAAATAACACTTCTCCCTGACCCTCCCTCATTCACCTCTGTATCCCACCAGAGGTGTCAGTAGGAACCTCACCACGCCACACAGAAGTAACACAAACGGCCATTAACATGCTGTGCAACAACCCCCTAGAGATCATTAAACACAGCTAAGCTGCCATTTGTACATAATGCTTTAGGTATTCCTCTTTCATGGACGATGGTTTGGAGTACGCAATAGTTTAAATTCATTTCTGGCTCTAATGGGGATTCTACTATAATGTATATCCATGTTGCATTAAAAAAAAAAATCTAGGAGGCAGACTATCTTTTTTGAACAACTTCATTTAACTATGGAAAGAGAAATTAGGAGGGAAATAAGGCTAATCAAAAAACTGAAGGCCGCGCTGGGGCGACAGCTCAGTGATCCCGATACTACATGCCATGCCAACCCCAAAACCCCAGGCGTCCCACTCTGGCCACCTAAACTAAGTAGTTTTGGGCACAGTGGCACACACCTGTAATCCCAGCACTGGGGAGGCTGAAACAGGAAGATCGCTACTAGTCTAAGCAGCATAGCAATACCCTGTACCAAATAAATAAATTTTAAGAATTTTAAAATTACAAAAAAAAAAAAAAGAGTAAGAGAAATAAGAGGATCACGGTGAGATCAAGACTGGTCTAGGGGCTACGAAAGTGGGTGCAAGGTCAGCCTGAACTGCATAGTGATACCTCTCAAAAAATTAATTAATTAATTAATTAAGAGAACAATCAATGGAAAAGACAATGAGCAATGTCATTAACTCTTGGAAAATTTATGTCCTAACTACTCCACTGAAGGATGACAATAAACCAAAACAGGATTCTAGAAAACAGAAATCCAAGAACAAAGGAAAACAGAATATCTGCAATGAAGGTCGAAGTTAACAACTATGTAGATAGGAGGCCCACCAATTGGCCTCCCTAAATTAGAGACTGGTAGGAGGCTCTAGATCAGGTTAAAGCAGGTTTAATAAGCAGGTTAAACAGGTTAAATACTTACTATGAATTAACTAATAAGCATTTTCCTATAGAAAAATTCCTATAGCTATAAATTAATGAAAAAAAAACCAAAAGCACATGAAAACACCCAATTAATTTAGAAAAAATGCATAGCAATAGAAAAGGGAATTCTGTTACAGGGCTCAGTCATTGATGGTTTAAATATGTTTGTGATAATAAAAACAATGAATGTTCATCTCAACCAAAATTAGAAATAACTATGTCAAAAAATGAATGTACAATATATTGGCAATTAAGCTAAGAGTACTTGAGTGAAACTGAAGATTTTTCATGTCCTACTATTATACGTCAGTGAATAATGACAAATATTTGAAAAGTTATATAAACATATACTTAAAATATGTATGTATAAATATATACACATATACAAGCTTTCTTTGGGCACATATATAGCCAAGCACTGAAATGTACAACCAGTTTGACTGCTGTAAGAGCTTCTTTCAACAGCTCTGGAACTGATAAAACACAGAAAATACAGAACGGTTCTCCCCAGGGCTGTTCTAGCTTGTGAGGATCACAGCACAGTGATGATAAAAGGTGATACGCTGTAATACTTCACATTTTAAGAAAAACTAGATTCTAAAGGGACAAAGGAAATCAAGGCATCTTCAGTAACCTCTGGAGTTTTCCTCTTCCAATAGGATGAAAACACTCTTTCTTTTCCTATCAGGCCTGCAATATGAAAATCTCCAGCATCACGACCCTGATCTGGCCCTTGTCCTCGCTATTATTATCAGACAAAAGCCAAACTTCTCAACCTGTAAGTTGTGTAGTGAAAGTCTTTGCAAACATATGCTTTTTCACATCTACTTAATTACTAAAAGGCACAAAAAGAAAACACAATCAGAACTGACTAGAAATCTGAGCTAGATCCTAATTTGACAAAGGCAGTCTTTTTTTTAATGAGTTGATTAAAAATAGCACGGTGTGAGCCAGGCATGGTGGCACACACCTGTAGTCCCAGCACCCTGCAAGGCTGAGGCAGCAGGATGCCACAAGTTCAAGGCCAGACTGGGCTATGTAGTGAGCTGAAGGCCAGCCTGATCTATACAGCAAGATCTTGTCTCAAAACAAACAAAAAAAAAGAGGTGGAGGAGCGGGGGGAGGAGGAGGGGAGAGAGAAGGAGGGGAGGGAGAAGGAGGGGAGGGAGGAGGAAGGGGGAAGAGGAGGAGGAGGAACAGGAGGAGCAGGAGGAGCAGGAGGAGCAGGAGGAGCAGGAGGAGCAGGAGGAGGAGGAGCAGGCAGAGCAGGCGGAGCAAAAGAAGCAGAAGCAGCAGAAGCAGAAGAAGCAGAAGCAGAAGCAGAAGAAAAAGCAATGTGTTGCCAGCCACTGGGGAAGCTGAGGTAGGAAGATGCTATATTCCAGACCAGTTTGAGCAGCTTAGTAAAATTCTACTTTAAAAGGAAAAATTAAAAGGCAGATGAAATAGCTTGGTGCTATAGTATTCACCTACTATGTTTAAGACCCTAGTGCAATCCTCAGAGCCCCCAAAAAAATCAAAAAGAAAGACTGTTGATTGAAGAAGAATCTCTAAATTTTCATGATAAAGCCAGAGACTTAGTTCTAAAATATAAAAAACGAGTTTAAAATGTTGGAAACATTTTTAAAAATCACTTATTTTTGAGGGAAATTGTCACTACTGTTACATTATTACTGTGGGGACATTTTAACTGCAAAGATAGTAAAAACTCTAAGAACTATTCCTTCTTTAAATTCATTCATGGCTCAATTTCTGGTATAAAACAAATACTTCCTTTTAAAATATCAAACTAAAGCTAGGCATGGTGGCATACATCTGTGGTCTAAGCATGCAGGAGGTAAAGACAGGAATTCAAGGCCAGCCTGAACTACAAAGTAAAATTCTGTTTCAAAACACCAGGAAACTCACACACATACACACACACACACACACACACACACACACACAATCAAAACTGACACCAGGTACAGTGGTACATGGCTGTAATCCCCGTAATCAACAACTGGAAGGGCTGAGACATGAGGATCACTTTGAGTTTGAAGTCAGCTGGAAGCTGGCCACAAAAAAAAAGTTTTTAGGCCAGCGAGATAGTTGAGTGGTCTAAAGCGCCTGCTTAGGCAAGTGCTCAGGGGCCGGGATTCGATCCCTGGCAACAAGTGCCAGAGCTCCCGCCCCTAGGGTGGGCTGAGCCAGCCACAAAAAAAAGTTCTAAAATCCCAAACTGAGTAGTATAGGTGGTTCCTGTCTATAATCTCGGCACTCTGGGGGGCTGAGGTGAAAAAGACTGCAAGTTTGAGTCCAGCCTCGGCAATTTAGTGACTTAACAAGACCCAGCCTCAAAATAAAAAATAAACAAGTAAAAATGAGTCTGGGATCATTTACTAGTACCACAAAACAAAACAAAAACATCAAATTTTGAGCTGTTAAGAGAACCTGAATTGAGTATTATTTTTTAATTATTTAACAGCCCATAGCATTAAATTGTAAAATAATTTCCCCCAAAAGACAACTGTAGGAGCCAGGGAGATGGCTCAGTAGAATAAGTGTGTCCCTGGCAAGTGCAAGGGCCTGAGTTCAATGCCCCGCTTCTGGGAAAAAAAAAAAAAAAAAAAAAAAAAGACAACTGTAAGTTTGGTGAGACAGCTCAGTAAATGCATCTGCCTGGCAAGCCAAGAACGGAAGTTAAATCTCCAGTATGAGTCGGAGCTGTGTAGTAAGACCCTGTACTAAATACATAAACACAGATTTTTTAAAAGGAAATTTTGTACACTAGAATAGTAAAATAAATTAGCAGAATTATTGTTTGTCTTAAATTTCTACAAATATAATTAGGAATATATCAAGATTCTTAGGGGCTGAGGAGATAGCGCAGTAGAATGAGTGCTTGCCTGGCAAGTGCAATGTCCTGAGTTCAATCCCCGGTACTGCAAAAAAAAAAAAAAAAAAAAAAAAGATTCTTTCTGGAATCATTACAATGGATAGAAGATATCGGTATAACAGCTAGAAATGCCTTGCTTGATCATATCAGAATTTCCTTATTCTTAAATATTTCATACAGAAATATATCTGCTCCACAAATATAGAAAAATACCTGCTTCACCTTTTTCATACTATAACATCAAAAGATTAGGTATTTTTTCCCAGAATAATTTCCTTCTAATATCCAAGTGCTTGGTTCTAAAATTTTGAGAAATTCATATATTTCCTAGTAAATGCATTTCTCTCTTCTTTTTTTAGGAAATCAAATGTAATTTGACGGAAAAGAATTATTCCTTAATTCCAGCGGATATCAATAACAATGTTACTATTCTTGATCTCAGTTATAACCAAATTACTCTGGATTTAACAGACACGCAGGTGCTACAAATGTATTTTTTACTCACTGAGCTCTATCTGATTAAGAACAACATCATTATCTTACACAGTAATAGTTTCAGGAACCTCTCCAATCTAGAAACTTTAAATATCTGTAGAAACTCCATCAATGTAATTAAACAGAACGCATTTGTAGGCTTAAACAAACTAAAACAGTTACATCTCTGCCAAAACAAAATATTACAACTGGATCCGGGCATATTTGTGCCTGTAAACAACCTGAAACTCCTGAATCTGCAAGGAAATTTGTTACACTACTTTGAAGAACCACAACTATTCCATCTAGAAATAATAATTTTATATGGAAATCCATGGAACTGCTCTTGTAGTCTACTCAATTTGCAAAGCTGGTTGAATACATCAGGTGTGATACTAGGTAAGCTACCATAATTTAAATTCACCAAAACTAAAACAACTTTTGCTGATCTGCTCCAGAAAAATATCTCACTTCCACTTTTTACTTTTTTTCATTTTTTTGTGGAACCAGGAATTGAACTCAGATCCTTGTGTTTGCCAGTCAAGCGCTTATCCTACTAAGCCATCTCCCCGGCTCACTTCCATTTTTTATAAAATGGAATCTTAGGGGACAACCTGCCTGGGCCAGGCCCCCCTTCTGTGCTTCTCTCAGACAGAAGCTTTCTTTCCCCCAATAAATATATTCTATTCTTAACCTCAAAAAAGGCATCTTAGGCTGGGGGGTGAGGCCTGGTAGAGTGTCTGCCTAGTATGCATGTACCTTCAGTCTGATCTCCGGCTCCACAAAAGGAAAAAAAAAAAAAAAAAAAA